TTTAATGCTATTTTTCAAATTGCTTTAGAGTCTAATGTCGAACTACTTATGCAACTCACAAGTTTCAGACAGTTGTGAGCTTGAACAATAGAATTTGTCATGTCAGCATTAGACAGTCTTTGGTTGTTATTTCAATGATTATGTCAAAAATTTGTTTTCCTTATGTTTCTTTTGGCATGTGATATCTGTAGTTTTGCAGGCTTTGAAGTAGATATCTAAATGTACTGTCTCTGTATTTTTATGACATCTGGAATCTATAGACTTCTGACTATTAGTCCTTTAGACTAAGTTGCTGGATGGATCAATTTAGTTCAATGAAACACGGAGCAGGGTTTTCAATTATATAAGTTTGTCTTTCATTTGGTTTTCCTTGTCGTTGTTAAGAGGACTTGTGTACTCTTTTGTTCGAGGTATCTTTTATATAGTTGAGAGGTATCATGGGGATGCTTTTACTGTGCCTTGAGGTGTTAATTCTTTTATTATTTGGTTGTATGGAAGAGGGGCACCGTTTAAAAGAGCAAATGAGTATAAACAGATGATGATAATGCTTTTATTCTCAAATTTCTTTTTCCCTTCTAAGTTTTATACATTTATATTCATCCTTGTTTCCCTTCCCAAAGGACTAAGTTTCACTAAGAATCCGTTCATTTTGTGTAACAGATTTATTTTTGCTTGAGGACTGGGTATTATGATGAAGCAAGACAAGTTGCCCTATCATCCCGTGCTTCTCACCAGTTTGCACCACTGGTACATACTGTTTACTGTTTAATTCATCATACTTGACAATCAACATTACTCAAAACTTCTGTTTTAACAGCTTACAGAGTGGATTAACAGTGGAGGCATGGTTCCAGCAGACATTGCAGTTGCTGCTGCAGAGGAGTGTGAAAAAATGTTTAGAATGGGTGATCGGGTTGGTCGAGCTGCGTATGACAAGAAAAAGTTATTGCTCTATGCTATCATATCCGGTTCTCGCAGGCAAATTGACCGTCTCCTCAGAGATTTACCATCACTTTTCAGTACCATAGAGGATTTCCTGTGGTTCATATTGTCAGCAGTACGCGACTTACCCGGTGGAACCTCATCTGTTATTCTGAATGAGGGTTTAGTACCATACAGTCTGGATGATTTGCAAGCTTACCTAAACAAATTTGAGCCATCATATTACACAAAGAATGGAAAGGACCCTCTGGTATACCCGTATGTCTTGCTTTTAAGTATCCAGTTACTACTGGCTGTTTCATACTTGTCTAAAGAAGCAGGGGATGAAGGATATAACATTGATGCTGCACACATAGCAATCGTGTTAGCAGACAATGGGGTCCTTTATGAAGGTGCTGGTGCTGGAAAAAAACTGGGGATGATGGATGCGTATGCAGAAGCATCCAGCATTATTAGGCAGTATGGCTCTATGTATATAAGGCTTGGTAACCTTCAAATGGCACTAGAATATTATGCACAAGCTGCTGCTGCAGTAGGTGGTGGACAGGTATCATGGACTGGGAGAGGTAATGTGGATCAGCAAAGGCAAAGGCACTTGATGCTGAAGCAGCTCCTTACTGAGCTATTGTTACGAGATGGTGGGATTTATCTTTTACTTGGTTCAAGAGGTGCTGGAGAGGAAGGTGAATTGGGAAGATTCTTGACTGCTCATCAAGCAAGACAACAGTTTCTGCTGGAAGCTGCCCGCCATTGTCAAGATGCTGGGCTGTATGAGAAAGTAATTCTCTCTCTCTTTCTTTGCTTCGTCAATGTTTTTGTTTTCGGTATTGCATAGGAAAGTGCAAGCTTTGTTTTAATTGAAGGTGAAATTTTGGTAAGTATTGACAATTCCAAACATGCATTATCCTTGGTACTTGCAGTAGTCAGGCAGATCCCTCTCTCATATTGTTGCCACCATTTTATTTCTTTTTGGGTTTTACTAATCACGTTTTTGTCCTCAACATATCATCTCTGCATCTGATGTCCCTTCTTGTATCCTCATATATTAATGTATTTGGTGTTGATCTAATGTTGCACCTTTATAGGTTTGCAGCTAATCTTATGTTGTTTTTTCCTTTTTTTTTTTCTATAATTTCTTTGTCCAAATTCAGTCTATAGAAATTCAGAAGAGAGTTGGGGCGTTTTCAATGGCATTGGATACAATAAATAAGTGCCTATCTGAAGCAATTTGTGCCCTGTCATGCGGTAGATTGGATGGCGAGAGTCGAACTGCTGGCCTCATTCATTCTGGCAATGAGATCTTGGAGACTTTCAAATATTATCCTGAAGTCAGGTTGTTCCAATTCCATGCCTCCACTTTTTCTTTATTAAAATTTGGCTGCGTGTTTCTGATGTCAAAATTTGGTTGGTATTTTACTTTTAGTGTTGTCCTAATTTGTGATAAATGCTTGTAGAAGCTGTTTAACTTCCTTATTTTTCTTTCTTGCCTGAAATCCAGTGTGCTAGGATTGTGACTAATTAACCCCAAAAGAAATAGATTAAGCTCCAATTATTAGTCTTGCGCTGCCTGTACTTTAGTTGCTAAACATGTGTGCCTTATTTCTATTTGCTAATTTAGTTGTTAATTATTTACCCATTCGCTGGTAAATTTGGAAAATATATAGTATCAAAATATGTGGGGAAATGGCAGTGCTTCCATAGTTAGTAATTTATCCATTCATTTTAAATTTAGCTAAGGCTATTTTACTTTCTTTCAAAAACAAATTTAAAATTGCCAGTTGAAATTTTATCTTTTCCTGTGAGTTGTGACACGTGTTCTTTACATGGTTGAGATATTTCAGCAACTCTTTTCAGTTGTTTTAGTCCTGTACATCTTATGCTTATACTGTTTTATCTTTCTTCTTTCTTCTTTCTTCTGACCTTATGGCAACTTGGATTAATTGTGCAGTCTCCAAGAGCGGGAACATGTTTTGGAGCAACAAACTGTATTGAGACAGCTTGAGGCAATCCTGTCTATCCACAAGTTGACCAGACTAGGGCAGTATCTTGATGCTCTAAGGGAAGTTGCCAAACTTCCATTCCTTCCATTGGATCCACGAGCACCTGATGTTACCTCTAACATGTTTGAAAATTTATCTCCTCATGTCCAAGCTTGTGTGCCGGACCTGCTCAAGGTAGCTCTAACTTGTTTGGAAAATGTGACTGATACAGATGGATCACTTCGCGCTATGAGAGCAAAGGTAAGCTGGTATTTTAAACTAGCAATCTCACTTAATGTTTCCATTATGAGCAACGGGTGCTTAATTCTGCTGTTTCTCGATGAAGGAGAAATTATTGTAGTTTACGATGGGTGTGTAACAAGCATATCTTGGTGTTTGCAGATTGCAACCTTCCTTGCAAATAATATGCATCAGAATTGGCCCCGTGATTTATACGAAACGGTTGCCAGACACTTGTGAAACAAATCTGACCAAGGAAAAAGAGTGGATATAGGCAGAAATCTCCCTTCATAGGTGAGATGTATAAGCAGAGTTGAATTTGAGCAGTGTGGTTTATTGTAATGAATTTTTCCATTTTGGTATGAGCTGAGCTCATGTTAGGGTCTGTTTTTGAAACTGTTGGCGACCCATTTAACCGTGTTAATATGTCCATTTCTGTTCTAAATCCTGGAGGAGAAAGCTGAAAGGTTAACGTTATTCGTCCGTCGACCCTTAAAACATAAACCTTCAATTCTGAGACCAGCTTGTCATTGTTAATCAATCGTCTTCATGCTTCTAACCTTCAAAACGGGAATAGTAAATCATAATCAGTCAATTTAGACACCACCCCCAAAAGAAAAAAAAAAAAAGCAGTAGTGAAAGCAATAACCAGATCGAATCTTAATTTGACTTTCTAAATACTGCTTGCAGGAATACAGGCTATAAGCCCAATCAATGAGTCACTAATTTGATATTATAAATCAAATACGTCATTAACCATTGTTGAATTTAAAATTAACATATTCAAAAATTTTAATGTAATAATTCTTTTAAATAACATTTAATAACATCGAATTAATGATTTTGTTAGGCATGTCAACTATTTTTGGATAGAAAATGGTAAAATTGTGGCTTTTCTATTTTATCTTAGGAAGCCATAAGGTTAGTGGAAACAAATTCATGGAAGGGCAATCTTGATAGATGGGTTTAAGACAATTTCGGTTTCGGAGGATGTCTAAATGGGGACCAAAAGTGTCAAAATAACAAATCTTACAAATGGTGTCTAATTCATAACACATATTTTCTCCATTACTTTTTTAGTTTATTTATTTTTATATTTATTCTATCTAATTCATTCCTATTTTACCTATATAAGCTCACATAATTATGTATTCCCCTTTTTATATTTGACATCCAACTCTTCCTCCATCTTATATTTTCTCCTAACCATATATTTTCTTTTCTATGTATACAATTTAATCTAAGTAAATTCATTCCGTTTACCATATGCTCATTATATATTTTTTTGTATTCAATATCCACCTAAACCTATCTATTATGCTATATTTTTTAATTAAGTGATCATTTATTTCCCTGTATATATTTATTTTTGAATATATTTTTATAACCTAAAGACTTGTTTCTATCTAACTTTATTATTTTTCTATATAATTGCATATATATATATATATTCCTATATTTTCCTTTCTACTTCAATTCTTTACTTCTCACATTTTATTTTTATCCTTATCTATTTTCATATTTTCCTATTTCTACGATTTTCTTTCTTAATATTCCAAGATTCATATTTCTACTATTTTTGCTATGATAACATAAACTATATTAAGAAAATTTCTAAAATAAAATCAACCAATACAAATGCCCAATGATTAACAGTTAAAATAAACTACCCAAAGCTCCAACCCAATTAAGCTCAGGAAGATCGGACTAGCAAAAGCCCACTAACCAGTTTCAAAACTCAGCTCCCTCTTCTTTGAAACGGCGTCGTTCTCAACTCCTCTTCAGCACCAAATCCTTACCACCAAAAGGGCGCCGTTTTGCCCATGGACTTAGCTTTAGAAGCCTTTTTTTTCTTCTCTCTCTTCACTTCTCACTCCTATTTTCTCTCTCTGGCGGCAGATGCTCTGCCCTCTTTCTATCCGCTCACTTCTTCTTCTCTCCCTCTCTCCATTCCCGTCACCGACCGAATCAAACCTCCTGCTCCTCTCCGCGGACAACCCAAACCTAGATAATTATCCTGTCGTTCTCAACCCAAAACGGTGCCCTTTTGCTGGTAAGGATTTGGTGCTGGAGAGGAGTTGAGAACGACGCTGTTTCAAAGAAGAGGGAGCTGAGTTTTGAAGCTGGTCAGTGGGCTTTTGCTAGTCCGATCTTCCCTGGGCTTAATTGGGTTGGAGCTTTGGGTAAGTTTATTTTAAACTGTTAATCAATTGGGCATTTGTATTGGTTGATTTTATTTTAGAAAATTTCCTTAATATAGTTTATGTTAATCATAGCAAAAATAGTAGAAATATGAATCTTGGAATATTAAGAAAGAAAATCGTAGAAATAGGAAAATAGGAAAATAGATAAGGATGAAAATAAATAAATTCAACTATTAGTAAGAGAAGTTTATTTGATTAAAAATAAAAGTTCAGGAATTTATTTGAATATAATAAAAAGATATGGGCTAAATTAACTTTCTTGATATAGTTTGAGAGCTTATTTAAATATTTAGTCTAAAAACACTTATAATAAAAATTAGCCTTTTAAGAATCTTAATGTAAATATATAAGAATGAAAGTAAAAACTCATAAAGTTGAAATAAAAGATTATTAAAATATCAATTAAATGTGTAAGAGTTATCGGAATAAATTATGTTAGACAAAGTAAACATAGTTTTAGTGAAAATTAACCATTTACAAATTATGTCAGGATCTCTTCTTCAAATTCAAATTTGGGTTTTCTTGATTTGGGTTTAAGGTTCAATAAGTTCCGACTTCATCTTCTTTTTTTATTGTAGGAAAACAAGATCTAGCCATCGAGAGAAGAATCTTTCACAGGTAAATATGAAGATAATGCTTAGTAATTGTTAGATTGCAATTTTTATCTCTGACAAGTTTAGTTAGGATGTTGGTATTTGTTATTTTTTATTTAAAAATGGTATTTGTTATTTATTGATACAGATTAATTTTATCTTGATTTCCATGGTCACGATCGAACAACCTAAATATTAAAAAGGCTTGCAATTTGAACTAGGCATTTTTGTGTTTGATCACTGTAAAAGCTATTGAATAAAATTGGGTTTGGAAGTATTAAGGTTGGTCATTGTTTGCGTTCATATGCTTACAATCTGTTGGAAAATAAAATCGGTCTAATCCCAAGTTTCCTTTCTGCTTTCCTGTTTAGAAGACGGGAATAGGCCAAAATTTCCTATTTAGAAAGTTGGGACAATCTAAAAGGAGTTGGCAACTTTACTACTTCACCTACATTCTTAAATTACTTCTTCAATAGTGTACCTTTTTTACCTAGAGAACCAAGAGATAGACAATGGATGAAAAAATTATCAGCTAATATTCATCCAAGTTAATGGGTAGTTTTGTATTCCAGTCAGCTTGTTGGATTTGTGTTTTAGTGCTTATAGATCTGAACGAAGCAGTTTCATTTCTTAGATGAAAGGAGAAATTGGGGTGATATTATATCACTTTTAATAAAAACATTAAATGGTTAAATCATTGGAAGTTAGTCCAACCTCTAATCACAAATTTCATAATGCTATAGTGGAATGTTTCTAGTTCATTTTATTAATATTATGGAATGTTTTGAGCCATGTTTCCTTATATATATATTTTTTTTGCAGCAATTGCTGCAATTATAATGGATGCCGAGGATTGGGAAAGTTGTTTGGACAACGAGATCTATCTGCAAGACAGAAACGAGGATGATGGTGAAGAGAATTACTACTCATTTGGTTTCTTATCCAAATTACAATTTAGGTTCTCTTTGTTTTGTTAGCTGTCTTTTTTGTTGTTATTTTTACTAAAAATATTTTCTTCTGGAATAAAATTCATAAGTACAAAATTTAGATAAGGTTCTTTGTCTCTTTTTACCTAGGTCTTCTTACAAAATAAAACATTTTTTAAAGTTGTTGACTTATGATGGACCCTATGGTAACTTTTTTTTGCCAAGTCAGCAATTTAAGCCTTTGACTTATTTTCATGAGGGAACATGAGGAAAAGGACTGAAGAAACTTCACATAAGTTCTATCCAAATCATAAAACTTGTTAGGATACATATTCGAACAATATTTAAAAAAAAATAAAAATTAAATAGCTAACTCTTTGAGGATAAAATGTGTAACTTATTTTTATATAAAATGATTTTGTATTTGTACATTTTGAGTCAATTAGGGTTTTGTTTTCCCTCATTTACTTTTGTTCTATAACAATTAAGAAACATAAAGTTAGAAGTAGCATAAGTGATGAATAAATGAAGCCTTAGCTATTTATCTGGATTATATGAACTTGGATTAAATGGCTAAAATTCTGTTTTCAGGAAAGATATTTCAAAGGCTAGATGGATTAATGATTTGGCTATGGCTGAAGTTGTTGAAAAGAAGGGTAAGATGTGGGTGACTATGGGGATGGTTCGTAGTGGCAAGACATATTGCTTCATTGAGGAAACTCTGTAGGTGAAAACCAACTTGACTTAAAATTTTGTTCATTGTAGGCTTATGGTTTTGATTGTAATTTTTCAAAAATATTTTGTTGTAGGTTTTTGATTGAAATAGGGGCATTGCATCTTTCGGATGAAAATGGTATATGTCTTTCCTTAAAAGAAGTATATGAGAAGCTTTCAGATGAAAGTGGGTGTTATTGGGAGCTTTTTGAGGTTTATAGGCACTTAAAGTCTCTTGGTTATATAGTTGGGCGTCATGGTATCGCTTGGTCTGTGAAGGGTCTAAAGATCAAAACTGGAACCTGTTCACTTCAGGGCGGTGAAGAGAGAAATGAGTTGCTAGAAATGGAGCCTAAAGGCACAAGTTCCATTATTGATTTGTTCGATAATATGCAGATTAATGAAGTGAGTCCAGCTTTTGATGTTTATCTTCCAAACAGCCGGTTTAGAAAGTCTTCTCCGGGTGATCCAAGTTTTTCCCTCTACTTAAGTAGGTAATATTTTATTGCTAATCCCATCAGTTTGAGGAACTCTTTTACACTTCTAAATCTGGTGCTTTACTGCATATCTTTCATTCACATTATTGAATATTTGCGTTTGTGTTGGATTTTTTATCCATATAAAGTCTTGTGTCCTAGAAGTTTGATGGTTAAAGGTGCAAGTATATGTGAGAATGTTGTATGGTTGCTTACTAGGTTTGAAGCATCACATTGGCTTTATTAGAGAGAGAACTAGTCATGAAATGACTCTGTTAAAATTTCTTAGGCTTCTCATTGCTATTTGCATTAATTGAAAACCTTGTTGCATATTTCAAGACATTAAGGCTGTTGCATATTTCAAGACACTTAAAGCCGGAGATGTATTGGTTTTATTGTAAAATTGTCATGGTAAAGACAAGCATTTCAATATCTGGATATATTAAAAGTAAAAGTGTACTTTGTAAGCATTTCATAATTTCTTCTATTCTTGAATTTCTCAGAATTTGCTTTTTTCTTTTTGATTGAGACTATTCATGACTTTATTTAAAGCGAACTGAATACAAAATCACACCTATCTACGCATGAAACTTATATTCTTCTTTGCATTTCTGTCAAATACTGGTTCTTTTCTGGCAGCTAAAATTAGTTAGACAAAGAAATGATTATGATTGCCTTTGTGAAGTATTTTGTTGATTATTTTGTCATTATAGTTCTTTTATAAGAGCTGCTGAAAAAGAAAGTAGTTTATGTAGAGCCTTCTTCATTTTTAATATTCATTTGCTGAACATCATCTTTCCTATATCTCTGATGCCTTTTCCCTTGCCCTCAATTTTTGAACGTAATTTTGGTTTAAGGATTAAATATGCTGTTATGAGTTTAACCATCCTTGGATGAGTACTCATTTTGTTGACTGGATATTGTAGTGTTGTCTCATTTCTCAAGTTTATTTAATTGAGGTTGGTTTTCTTTCTAGGTCAAAAGGTTTTTGTCTTAGCTTGCCTTTCATTACCATTGCATTTGCATTACTCACTTATTAGTCCTTTATAGGAGAGAATGTGAGGATACTACTGCAGCTCTATAAGATCTCTACCAATGCCCACATACTGCTCAATGCCCGAGCTAGCCCTAGATGGCTTTTTTAAATTTTTTTCGTTGACACCTAATCATGAGGTGATTGAGAACTTTCTGAATAGATTGGTTCTTACTTCTCTAGAATTTGCGGGCTGCCTCGGATATCAATGAACATGTATTGCTATATGGAGAAGCACTATATATTTTTGTACAAAGTTCATTTTCCATTGGAAGAAAGCCACGCTTTGAAACTTGGACGATTTTTTTGCTCATAATGCGTCGCATTGTGATTTTAATGTTAGTATTAGCTATTTGCATAACTTCTGGAAGAAGTGAGACTAATATTGACAGCCATTTTTTCTTAAGATTTCTCTCCTGGAAGTTTAAAAAGATAAGCCTGTTGTTAGTTTGGAAATTATAAATCCCCTTGTAGCATAATTTGCATGGTTTACTTAGGATTACATGGGGCCTTTATGGCCATGGTACTTGTTTCCAAGAAATGCTTCTCAACATGGTTTTTCAATTTTCTATCCAATTGTATGTTAGTTCTTCATTTTGCTCTATTTGTCTTCTCTTACAGGGGCAATCCACCATCCAAAGTAGAAATTGAGGCCCTTGAGAGGAAGCAGGGTGCCATCCCTTTGAAGTTTTGTCATGTAGAGAATGGGCGTGTCAGTTTCTTCTCCTTTGATAGGGTGGAGCTTGCTGTCTTACCTTAAAATTTCTTGCTATTTTGCACAACTGGTATAGCAAAAGAAGTATGAAGATATATATTCTTGGAGTTGCAAGTTGTTGAGTGACGCTCCTACAGTTGGAATTCACCGCTTTTTGCAAAAGTTGAACTCAATTCTCTAATACTTGGTCGCAGAAGAATGCTTTATCTTTGTACATACAAGATGGGATTTATCCTTGTCACCTTCTCTAATTTATCTTTAGTTAAGCATTAAAACACGTACAAGATGAGGCATTAAGAACTTTATGCGAGGTATAAAAGCTTAGAGCACATGATTTACTCGTTAGATTTTGATGTGATGTCCATACATATGGTCTCACATTGATATGGCTAACTGCAAATCATAGCATCTTCAGAAAAATATGCTGATACTTAAAACCTGTGTTTTCGGAGGTGGTGGAAAATGCGACTTCCTACATGGAATCTTATAGAGTAAAAGATCAATTGTTTTGAATGCTTGAACCCACCGTTCTATCCTCTAAAATAAGTCAAAAGGATGCATCTCATGGTTGACTAGGGTGAGAATTTTCTGTTTATGACAACCTTTGCGGTTTCTTTTATTGTTACATATGCTTGATGTCAATTGCAAGATATGATAATAATTTTATAAGTTAGCTTAATTGGTTTCAGCAAACATATATGATCAAGGCACCGAAGAAACTAAGATGGGCTTTGCCTTTAGTTTTGTCTAAAATGGCTCAGGGACTATATCTGCTGCATTTCAGATTTTCTTCCCAAGTTACAGTGTTACTCTTCCTGGTGAGATGATCGAAATTAGTTGGTAAAGTTTAGTTCGTTTAATGATATATCTGAATACTTACTTTCTTGACTTTTGGGTGAGATTTTGGATTAATCAACTACATGTATACTCTTCCAAAATGATCTGTTAATTCTTTTTCATTTTGCTAGCTGTTTTATAATATGAACAAGATTTTTTTGCTTTGACAGTAGTCTCTCAAACACGTTTTTTTTTTAAAAAATTTAATTTATGGATAGGAGAGCCACAAATAAATAAATCTTGTAGACACCACTGTACCTGGAAAAGTAGTACATGAATGATGAAACAGTATTACTTTTTCTTTTGTCTAACTATCTATTCATCAAGCTTACAATATGTTATTGTGGATCTATGTAGTAATATATGAACTATGTATGATTCCAACTCCACTTGAGGAGCTCCACCTTCAACAGCAGCTAGCTGCCGTATAGTTTCTCCTACTTCTCCAACTCTCTCTCTCGCTCTCTTTCTCACCATTTCTCCTTCATATCATGCTATCAACTTGCTTACCCTTTCTTTAATAGTTGATGACGTCACTTTGTTCCCTGTGTGACCATTCCCTTACAATTAGTTCAATTTTAAGCAATTGTTTTACTAACAAAGCATTCATTGGTTGGTCAGAGTGCATGGGCCAAGCTGCTATCGGCACTCCCATGCGAATGCTCTCCATGTATGAATTCCATCCTCAGTGACTCATGAACCCACCAGTTTGATGGCTGTGCCAAAATTTCCTTTTGAGAGCCATTCGCACTCCTGTTCTCTCGTCAAACCCTTTTGCCAGCTCAACTCTTCTTGCTTCTTCTATAAACACATCTCCTTTAACCCAGATAAATTTTATCCTGCTTTATTCTAGTCGCATAGCAAGTTCTTTGATTTGTTCATCTGCCATAGTAGTAGTGGTTCCAAACGATACATAGATGACAGAATTTGATTTTTGTTTATCTAGCCAATCCAAGCACTTGCCTTTGCTAATTGAATTCCTTTTTTCATAGATTTTTACCAAGTTTAGTGGCCCGCTTCCCCATTGCTTTTTGTTTTCATTAATACGTTCTAGAAGATCAAGGTAAGAACCTCCTATCAATGTACAAGTCTTGTGGAGATCTGCAACTCTGAATTTAAAAAAGTCAGCTTGATAAGATATGAAATTCATGATCTCAAAGTTGAAGCAACCTTCAATGGAAAGAAGTCTGTTTGTATAGAAAATATTTAAGATCGAAGCAAAAAATTAAATTATTTTATAATAGCTAACTAAACATAAATTTATTTGGTGTGCAAGTAAAGTAAATACAATAGTCAATTAAACCTAAACTTATTTTGTATGCAAGTAAAAAAATAGTAAATAAAGAAGTATTCTAACCCTAATCTTCTTTGGAGTACAAGCCAAGTAAAATGAAAATCGAAAAATATTCTCCCTAAAATATAACATTAATCGACATACACGATTAAAACTGTTGCCTTCCCTTCTTTGTGTTTTATAAAAAAAGTATGGTTTGAGTTACTTTACTCATAACCAAATGCTTTCATTATAGAAGAAAACCTCCCAAATCAAACTCAAGGTGACTATTTCAGCCTATATAGTGACTTTTTTAGTTTACAAACTTTCCTTCTACACAAAAAAATATGCTTAATTCCTTGTGGTAACTCCATGTAGACTTCTTCCTCTAAGTCTCTATTAAGGAAAGCATTTTTAACATCAATTGAGATAGTTAGGGGAAGATGTAAGTGATAAGAGAGTTGTGAACAAGATTTTGGTTAGTATTCTAGAGAGATTTGAAGCTAAGATTTCTTCTCTGGAAGACTCTAAAGATCTAACTAAAATCTCTGTTAATGAACTAGTTGGTGCCTTGGTTTCTCAAGAGCAAATGAGAGCTCTCAAGTGTGAAGCTTTTGTTGAAAATGCTTTGGTTGCAAAGACCAAAGGCTTAAGGAGCAAGGGTGAGAGTTTTAAGAAGCAAAAAAAAAAAAAAATAGTAAAGGAGGTGATGATAAGTAAGGAAAAATGAAAGACAAGTATCCTCTTTGTCCTCATTGCAAGAAGTGCAATCATACACTTAAATACCGCTAGAATAGGCCTAATGTGAAGTGCAGAGGCTGTAATCAGCTTGGACATATAAAGAGGGTTTGCAAAGTGAAAAAAGCTAAAAGTGTTAATAAAGCAGCAGTAACTGAAGAAATTACTGAGCCTGAAGAAGTTCTGTTCATGGTTGAGGTTGAAGTTGATTCAGCTAAAAATGATACCTGGTTGATTGATAGAGGAAGATCTAATCACATCATGGTAATGAGAAACTGTTCAATAAACTTGATAAGAGTTTTAATGCCAGAGTGAGAATTGGTAATGGTATGTTTTTAAAGATACTTGGAGTAGGTACTGTTACTGTCAAAACTCCAAAAGGTTTGAAGTCTATTTCTGATGTGTATTTTGTACCAAAAGCACAATAAAACGAGTTGAATGTTGGTCAACTGACTGATAACAAGTATGTGTTGCTGTTTAAAGATAAAGCTTGCACTATCTTTGATAAAGCAGGTGCTGAAATTCTTATAGTAGCTATGAAGAGTAGATGTTGTCCTTTGAATCTAATGGAAACTAAGCATAGTGCTTTCTATGGTGAGGTTAATATGTTAGAATTGTGGCATAGGAGGTTTGGGCATGTGAATTATGATTCACTTGTCAAGATGGCATCAAAAAGTATGGTAGATGGACTTCCTGGCATTCAAAAGGCTTTGAAACTATGTGATGTATATCAGTTAGGAAAACAGTGTAAGAAGCCCCATCTTAAGTAGAGGAGGTGGAAAGCTCAGTAGAAGTAGGAACTCATTCATACAAATCTCTGTGGTCCTATGAAAGAAGCATCATTGAAAAGTAGTAAGTACTTTACACTTTTCATTGATGACTTTACCAAATTTTGTTGGGTTTATTTTCTGGTGCATAAGTCAGATGCTTTACAGCAGTTTGTTAAGTTCAAAAATTTAGTTGAGAGCTTTGCAGAGCTGCACATCAAAACACTGAGAAGTGACAATGCCTCAAAGTTCACTTCATTAGAGTTTGAGAAGCTTTTGGAGAATTTGGGAGTAAGGCATCAGTTGACTGTTGCTTTCAGTCCTCATCAGAATGGGATAGCAGGAAGGAAAAATAGAACTCTTTTGGAGATGGGTAGACGCATATTATTTCAAATGGGTTTACTAAAAAGTTTTTGGGCTGGGGCAGTGAATATTGCTACTTATATACTAAATATGACATGTACAAAAGCTTTAGCATTAAAAACTCCTTATGAACTATGGTATAATTATAAACCAACAGTGTCACATCTTAGAGTTTTTGGTTGTGTCTGCTTTGCTAAGGTTGCTGATGAGAATAGGTCTAAATTGGATCCTAAGGCTCTGCAGGCAATTCACTTAGGATATAGTGAGGTCTCCAAAGGGTACAAACTATTGGATGCTAAGTTTGAGAAACTGTTTATAAGTAAAGAAGAAATGATTGATGAGGGGTTGAAATGGAATTTTGAAAAAGTGTTGTTGAAAGAGTTGATCTAGTGGAATTGTCAACCAAATTAGTTGATGATGAAGCTAGTGAGACTGAAGACATTGAAGATGAAAGTTTAGCAGTCAGAGGGACTAGGTCCTTGGCTGATATCTATAGTAGATGTAATGTTGCTGTGGTAGAACCTATTTGTTTAGCTGAAGCTTATATAGATGCAAATTGGAAAGCTGCAATGGACATTGAAATGAGTATGATTTTGAAGAACAACACATGGAATTTGGTAGAAAGGCCAAAGGATCAGAATGTTATTAGTGGTAAATGGGTGTTCAAGACTAAGTTGAATCCAGATGGTACAGTAAACAAGTACAAAGCAAGGCTGGTTGTAAAAGGGTTTGCACAGACATATGGTTTTGATTTTTTTGAAACATTTTCACCTATTGCTAGGCTTGATACTATAAGATTGCTTGTAGCATTCTCAGCTAAACAAGGTTGGAAGATCAGCCATCTTGATGTAAAATCTGCATTCTTGAATGGTTTTTTGACAGAAGACATCATTGTGGAACAGCTAGAGGGTTATGTCGTGAAAAGATCGGAAACTAAAGTCCACAAGTTGGTGAAAGCTTTGTACGGTCTTAAACAGGCTCCACAAGCCTGGTATGATAGAAATGACCAGCATTTGAGAAGTTTGAGATTTGAAAGAATTTTGACAGAATCAACATTGTATGTTTAGAAGGTTGATGGTTCAGTTAAGTTGATAGTTGCCATATATTTTGATGACTTGTTAATAATAGGTCTAGATAAGGAGTACTTGATGAATTTTAAGGCTCAAATGATGTTAGTTTTTGAAATGACAAATTTGGGATTAATGACCTACTTTTTAGGTATGGAAGTTCAACAACGTGATAGGGAAATCTTTTTCCATCAGGCCAAGTATGCTCGAGATTTACTGAGGAAGTTTAATATGAGTGAGTGTAAGGCTGTTCCTACTTCACTTACTGTAGGAGCTAAATTCGGTAAGGTTGATGATTCTGGTGATGCAAATGGTCTGTTGTATAAAAGCATGATAGGTTCATTATTATACTTACCTGCTACAAGACTAGATATTATGTATGCAACCTGTCTTCTTTCAAGGTTCATGCAATCTCCATCACAGGATCATTTTAAAGCAGTAAAGAGAGTTATTAAATATGTGAAAGGGACAATTCATTTTAGTCTCAGGTACTTGAAGGATGAAAGTTTTGAAGTTGTTGGATACAGTGATAGTGACTGGGCTGGTTCTTTGGATGATTCAAAGAGCACAAGTGGTTACTGTTATTCTTTTAGTAGTGTTGTGTTCTCATGGAATTCAAAAAAGCAAGAAATTGTTGCTCAATCGTTTGTTGAAGCAGAGTACAT